GGTTCAGCAACTAGTGGGGAGGGAAGGAAGGCAGCTCGGTATAGCCCTGCAGTGAAACAGGGGGAGTGGTCTGGCCCCCTTCCAGGTATTCAGGGAAAGGGGCACGACTTGGTTCTGTGGGGAGGGACAGGAGACAAGAGGGCATGGCCTGGCCCCAAGCAAGCTGTGCAGAAGGAAGAGGGCGTGGCCCAGCCATGATCTGGCTCTGCAGGGGGACCGGGTATTGCCGAGGGACTTGGGAATTTGGCAGCAGGGGAGCAATGGTAGTATTAACTGCCACTGGTCATCTGCATCTTTTCATGGAAAGAAATTCAAGATTCTATTATTTCTCTAGTCCTACAAACTGAGGACTTGTGAAAAAAAATCATATTTCTGTTCTAGCTTATGTATTAGTTAGTAAACACATACTGTTTGGACATCCAGGCAGCATGCTCAAAAGCCAGCTCTGCGCTCCCTATTTTTTTCTTACACAAGTCAATGTGCTTCCTAAACTGAGCAATTGCGTCCAGAGGTGTATTATGCTGAAAACAGAGGCGACAAATCTACAAGAATGAAATAAGACAAACGCTTTGATTAGAGTTAAGGATTTTAAAACTTTTTAAACTTGAACTTTGAAATATAATAGGTGAATCCTTATACGAGATGCAGCAATTCAGACAACGTAAAATGAAGACTAGATAAGACCACATACATGGACATAAGTAACTTATGACCAACTGACGTCTTTCTGCAGAGAATGAGCCAATGACAATGGACAATAACCACTAGACTGAACACCACACAATCCTAGGACTAGCATAGAATTGTAACCTTTGCTTCGGAGAGAACATATGGATAGCATTAGGCCCTGGAAGGCTGAATGATCTCTCTCAATGAGGATCTATTTTAATAACATTTTTGTTAAATTAATTAGGACAACATTTTTGCTAACCCAACAGGGCAATTTAGATGGCTTTTCCTCCTCTTCCTCTTAAAATGGAAGGTGAAGGATCTATATATTTTGAATTCTAAAAGCAGAGTTTATTTCCACTGACTGAGTAGGAGTTAAAGGTACTCATTTCAAAAACACCTGTGTGTCACATACATGCAACAGGCGCCTCAAAACAAAAATCAGCAGAGCACAGCTTCTACCTAGGAGGTATTCTTTTTGGATCTAAAAGCAATTTGAACTTAATATAAAGCCAGGTAATAATTTAAAGCTAACTTCCCATCAGCAATGGAAAAGAAATTTTTAATACTTAAATCTTTTTCAATTGGATTATTCAGATACTTTTGGATTACTGAAATGTACAAGTCTGTAAAAGACTGAAACAAGGATGACTTACCTTGTAGTTTATAAACCCTGCCATGGTCTTGATTTCTAACATATTTGTTTCATGAGCCCTCAGTTCATGCACTAGGTTGTAAGCTGTTCTGTAATTCCTAAAATATAAAATGTTTAATTAAAAAAAAAAAGTCAGAATGTGTTAACATAAACAGTTATTTAAGCAAAGTAAAAACAACTGCTACTCAGAGAAAATACAAGTTCTGGTGAAAAAAAAAATTACATAAACATTACCATTTTACATCCTCAAGCAAACATTGTTACAATTTTTCTGTTTGTTTCAATTAACTGTTTTGAAACAATGAAAAAGAAAAAAAAAGGCTATTCTTCTGCTTAAGTCTGACAAGAAAACTAAACAAACAGAAAAAATCTTGTGTACTAATTTTAGTGTCACATGCTACTGAAAAAAATGTATTAAGCACATATATGTTTAAATATTAGCACAGTTTGAAATCCAATAACTAGTAACATGGAGATAAAACACAAGTCAGAAGATACGTATATTTTACCAATATAAAATATTAGTCAGATTTGCCACTAGAAGTCTCTCCCTTTGCCCAGGAAGTACTCCTTTTGCGGAAGGTGGGTTTGCTTGTATATTGTGCATGGAGGGGGAGGGGGATGTATGGGGGAGCGGGGGCAGGGGGGCATGTGGTTGGGTGGTGTGGGTATGGTGAAGGCAGAAGCAGGCAGGACTCAGCCCCATGCAGAGTGCAGCTGCTGGCAGGGCCAAATACAATTCATTGGTGGTGCCTGCCAGTAGGCCAGATCTAATCAGCTGGAAGGCTGGATCTAGTCCATAGGCCACATTTGGCTCACCCCTGTTTTAGATGTTATAAGTATTCATTCAGATGCTTTTACTTAGCAAGATACACAATGGAATATCACTTTATGGTAACACTTAAGGAAGCACCAATGATAAAAGTCTGTTGCCCCAATCCAGAGTGCTATAAGCACAATACTTGATATTAGGCAAATACTTAGTATCTATAGTATTTGCCTAATACTATAGACAAATCTATATATTTGACAAATCTGTATATTTTGTTTGATTTATTACAAAGCTACTGGAAAGCAACAGTAGTAAAGGATGACAACTCATCTGTTCTATCCCTTGCTCATTCTCAGTGGAAAGGTGATCCTCTGAGGCTAATTGAGACCATTTCAAGGAGACAGGTGGAACTGGCAAACCTACTCTTCTAAATATGCACTAAAGCAAACACGGAAAGAGATGCAAAGTTATTTTAGTGGAATATAAGGTTTCACAGATGGATGCCATTCAGGAGTGGAACAATTAAATGCTCCATGAAGCATTTATTGTATTTACTCAAGTTGAAGGCTAGGTTGTCTATCACCCAGTCACCATGGGAAAAAAAAAAAGCTGTCTCAGAATTTGAGCATGGCCCAGGGCAAGTGATGTCTCAGCTCTGGCTTTGGCTTGGGACCAAAGCCAGAGCCAAGACACTGCCTGGCCTGGGCTGGGGGAGCTTTTGGTAGGGGAGGGGAAGTGTGCAGTCAGAGGAATGCAGGGGAGACCCGATGGGGAGGAGGGAGGGGAACATAGGGGGAGACCACAGTCTGTGGCTCATGGGAGACTGTGTCACTCCCCCCACCAAATCCCCCCCTCTGCTTATCTTCTGCTCCATCTTGCGCCCCTGCAGTCCCAACCTGGTTAGAATTAAAAGCTGCCACTGCTGTTTGCCCCTAGCCGAGCTGGGCTGGGGCTGCCACCAGACTGCCAAAGGAGAGCTGCAGGACTTGAGAGGGTGCAGGGAGCAGGGGGACAAGGGGTAGCGGTCTGATCCCTTCCCTTCCGCAGAGGTAGGGGGATGAATTTAAGATGAGGGGTTGTCTTAAATTCAAAGTCATCTTGGATTTGGGTAAATACACTAAGTATTTATATACAAATGCATTTTCTAAACTTATTCTCTCAGTTAAATGTAGAGTTTAATTTATTGCTATTCAAATCGTAGTACATACCAAGATACATACATGATGCATCACATGCAAGTCAGTGTTGGTCATGGAACCATAACTTTATTTTCTGATTGGAATTTTATCTTAATGTATGAATAGTTTGGGATCTGAGCTGGTGTTCTGTTCTTATGAAGTATGCCGAGGGAGCAAGGGGTGGCTGGTGGGGAAGAAGTCAGAACTGGTACAGTGTATGCAAAATGGCTAAGACGGTCATATACATAAGAAGTGGAATTAATACTTGTCCAAGTCAGTCAGACAACCATAAAAACTATTTGTCTTTTAAAGTCACATTACACCAAAGTCCACTGAAACACTTTTAAAAGTATGAGAAAATGGAACATAATACTGCAAGGGAAACCCCTTCCCACAAAAAGTCTCTTCAAAATACTTAAAGTAAATAAAAATCAAGCTTAATTCCTCCCCTTCTGGAATGAACTCAGAAACACAAACTATTTGATCTGTTTTACTTTCACTACACTTGAAGTTATAACAGCAGCAGAAGTCATTAAGAAAGAACAAATTTTATACAAGTCTTACTTCAGCGCATTCTGCGTATCCTGTTTCAGTTCACTGAAGAAAGCTATTTTGAACTGATGCCTAACAAATAAAAGCTGTAAAACATAACCAATATATTTTGAATTGAATACATTTATAAATGTGAATATCTAATTTCTATATAAAGAAGTCACAGATGCTACTTTATACGATGATGATTACTTGTAAATTTGCAGATTATAAAATAAGCAGACTCACAGAAAAAAAATATGGCAGTAGTACTCGCTCAATAGCAATCTATACCATACGGCTCCTCTGTTAAACCTAACCTGTTGGGGGGAGGGGCGCACAGCCAGATGCGGAGCAGCAGCTGCATGAAGTGGTGGGTGGCAGTGGCGGCCATATGTGAGCTTCCCCTCCTCCCCCTGCATCCAGCCAGCCAGGTGGCACCTGTGCGGCCTGCAGAAGGGCACTGCTACCCATCCCCACCCACCCACATGTACCCCCTAGGGCCTTCCCAAGTACCCTGGGGGTATGTGTACCCCTGGTTGACAACCTCTGCTTTTGGGTACAACTGGTGTGCTTAAAGAACTCTCTCCCAGCCTTCCAAAACAAAGGAAGTCAGTGGCTAAAACACAAAGTTGTCTCTGCAGAGAAATATTTGGTGAACTGACAAACAACAAATGAGAACCAACTTAACACAAATCTGGGCTTGATTCCCACCTACAACCTGCTGATTTAGACAGCACAGAAATAAGTGTATGTTTTTTGGGGGGGAGGGGTTGTGTGTTTGTTTTTTAAATAGAGACTGCTTTAAAATTATCCTTATTAGCCACTGTTTTAAAATCTGCTTGTATTATAATTCTTAGATGGTATCCCAGGAAATATTAAGTTTGTGACCTCCCAATATCACTAATTCTATGAACTGCAGTAAAGCACATAGTATTTAGACCCTCCATTCTGGAATATCTTAAACCAGCTAGCAGCACCAATTTTAGAAAACAGTTGAACCTTGTTTCTATGCTCCTCAGTTGCTTCTACAAGATCTGACAAATGGAAGCATTCAGCTTGTAAGTCTAGATTTCATTCTACAGTATCTTTTTATTAAGAGTTTGTCTTCAAAAGAATATGAAATTAAACTCACCCTTTAAAAAAAGTAGGAAAATGACTATACGAGAAAAATGAGCAATAATATGTAAAAACAGGAATAGTTTACTTGAACATGCATCAATCAGAATAGACACATCAACTTTTTTCCTTAAACTATTTCAAGGAGCAGCTTTACCTGATGTGTTGTCTTGTTCAAGAACTCTTTGTGAGATTTAACTCTTCGGATTTCTGTATAGTAGTAGGTCTGAGCATGTTCATAAAAGGCATTCTCTAATCTGTAAAAGAAAATAATTCAGACTAGCCCATTATAGAAGCTCATTCAGTACACAGAGAATTCAAGAGGCCTTAGAAAAGAACTTCAGTTTGAGCACCAATCCTTCATAAATTATATTTTGACAATTTACAGCAACTTCAATCATTAACAAAATGAACGAAGATAAGCATTTTTGTGATACTATTTTGTGATACTTGAATTAATTATTACCCTACTTGTCTGGGATCCTAGCAATGGCAGGGAAACTGTGCTGTACAAATACAGAACAACATGCTGCTGCCCTAGGCAGCATGCAGTCTAAACATGAGGCAAGAGACAGATGGAAGCACAAGGAAGCAAGACAAAACTGGACAGCAGGACAGGTAGTAGTTATAGTGCATTGGTAGAGTAAGTTTTACTTTTTAAAAATAATAACAAAGGTGAGTTAAGGGATGATTTAGAAAAGTATAATGAACTAGCCTTGCTAATATTTAAGGGAGGCTCTCCCAGGCATGAGGCATAAAATGGAAGGAAGCATAAAGAATGATAACAGAAAAACAGTAGTGGCTAGGAACATGGCCCAATCAAAGGGGAGATGCAAATGAGTGATGGGCTTAGATAACAAAGACAAACAGCTTATATTTGATATGATAGCGAAAAAAGGGTGGAGGAAAAAAGAAAAAAAGTCAGTGTAAGGAGGTACAGTCTCTACTTTTATAAAACCTTTAAAGACAGAAAAATAGATAAAAATATTTAGCATGTGTGTGTTCCTGTATGTCCAAAGCATCCAAACATTAAAGAAGAAAGAGTGATATGAAGTGGTATACCCATATCTCTATGCTAGAGGTGCACCAATACAATCAGTCCGATACCGGATTGGTATTGATATAAAGAAAACTGATTGCATCAGAAATCGACCTGATGTGGCCAATAATTTGGCCGATAAATGCCCATGTAGGCACAGCTGCAGTGCAGCATGTAGGCAGCAAGGAACACAGCCTGGCAGTTTGGAGAGCTACGTGCAAGCTGGCAAGTCTGTTATGGTGGAAGGAGAAAACGGGGCATGGGGGGGCAGATCAACGACCCAGTAGGGTGGGACTAGGGCGGGCATGGGACAGAACCGTGGCTCCTCCAGGGATGGAGGTGGGTGGGGACAGCTCCCACTGCTACAGGCTGCTCATCCGGAAGCAGCTGCTCTGGCGCTCGCCCGCTTGTCCAGCAGCTCCTGCTCACTTGTCTGGGAGGGCATGGCACACACACACACACACACACACACACACACACACACACACACACACGTCTCCGGATTTGCACGGGGTTAGGGAAGGCTGGGAAGAGCCCCACACAGCCCCAGAAGCAGCAGCGGGAACCACCAGGTGAGCACTGGATCAGAGACTCCCAGATAAGCAATGCACAGCAGTGGGAGCTGCCCCCCATTGCCCCCACACAAGCTGTGGCTCCGTCCCATGCCCATTCTACCCCATCCCACCCCAGCTGGGCAGCACTTGCCCCAACCCACTCCTCCCTCACCACGGGGACCTTGATCTGCCCTGCCACACCCCTTCCACCACACCAGACTTACCACCTGCACGCAGCTCTCCAAGCTATTGGGCTTGTATCAGAAAATCGGATTGGTTTCAGTCAGTATGCCTCCTTAAAAATCGGCTATCGGCATCAGCCCCAAAATCTCTATCGGTTCACCCCTAACTCTATGCATAGGAAGGGAAGGGACTTTTAAAATTCCCGTATCAGGATGTAATCATATTTGAAGTATACAACTTAGCATGAAACACATTAAAGCCAGGAGCAAATTTAAAGAAATTAAATAAAATAACCTTTGTTTTGAGAACAATAAAAATAAATCTATGTGAACGTCAAATAGTTTCTTTCTAGCTGTGAGCAAAATATAAGGATTCCTTCAAATGATTACTTCCTTTTTGCATTTTGCAAACAGGCTCTTTGGCCGTGTCCAGACAAGCATGGACATGTGGTATATGGCGCTGCAGACCCATGTGCGTTGCCGCACACTGCACGTGGACATTCCCCATGCTGCTACTTTGCCCAAAACTAGAGCCTAGCCAACTGAAGCCATGCTCCAGCTGCCAACCAGACTTCCTGCCATGGCTGCAGCCCTGGGAAGCACCCAGGGCCTAAGGTAAGGCTGCTAGGGTAGCTGTTGCTGGCCCTAGCATCTTTTACCGCACCCTGGGTAACCTGCTGTGCTTTAGAGCATGCCTGGTGCAAGCATTTCCCAGGGACAAGTAGCAGCAGGGACAAGCAGCAGTGGGGAGACAAATGTCCACGTGTTTCTGGACACAGCTTCTAAGGCTATTTTGGCCACTGTTAACCCAAGGGTTTTCTTCTTTTTTTAACCATACAATTATTAACCCATCAAAATAATATATGATGTCCATACACAACATTAGATAGAAAATGTTTTATGTAAAGGCTAGGACATAATGCTTTCAAAGTAATAAACAATTTAAATGAAAAAAAAAAAATCTCTAATAAAACACTAATGCAAATATGAATAAACCCCGATGCAATTCAATTAGACATTCTAATTTTTGAAGACCAAGGAAAAGAACTCCCTTTTTTTTCAAATATATCTTGACAAAATTCCAGAAATTTCATGTCCAAGGGAATAAAAATAGAAATTTATTAGAACTACTGATAGTCAAGAGAAGTAAAATACATGTTAAAAAAAATAAAATGAAGCCAAGCAGAGAACAACGTTTGAGATGACATCTCTAACTTACTATAAGATAGTAAAACAGTTAAGGATTGATTCTTCAGCACGATGGGGAACGTTTCAACAACAGATAAAACGCGAGTACAGGAAACGCTTGCCATTCGCCGATTCAAATATTCAAACTCACGCTCTCTCAACATGCTCCCCATCCTCCCGCCGCTGCCAGTATTGGCGGCGTCTGTGGGAGCTCCGCACTTGCTACTGCGCTCCTGACATTCGCAGATTTTGCCATTCACGGGGATCTCTGGAGTGCATCCCCCGTGAATGGCGTGGGTCTCCTGTAATGCAAGTTTTCTAGTTCTCTCTTCACATCCACTATAGATCAATTAATGTTCCTTAACATTCCGGGGGGAAAAAAAAGCAACCCAAGAACAAACACACAATATAGAGGAAAGAAGACTTTTACCAAAAATCACCTACCTTATAATGTATCCAACAAGATGATCAGTATGTGGCAGCACAAACAGGGATTTTCCAGAGAGGTCACAAGCATTACATAAAGCTGCTGCCCTTTCTGACGCAATAACATCTTCCCCTAAGGAAGTTAAGACAGCCCAGACAAGTAGGGTAATAATTAATGCAAGTATCACAAACATCAGCTCACAGAGACAAATTAAACTATACTCTTCTCAAAAGCTATCAAAATATAGAAAAATCTAGTACATTGACAGAAAGATGGATTCCCTTATACTTCACCTAGAACATTAGAGTTTTATTCGGTAGAACAGCTGAGAAACTGAATTACCTCCAGAAAGCTTGGGTAATAAGCCAGCAATACATTTGTAAAGAGCAATATAACTCCTTACAAAATGTATTGCTGGCTTATTACCCAAGCTTTCTGGAGGTAATTCAGTTTCTCAGCTGTTCTACTGAATAAAACTCTAATAGATATATATTCAGTGCTAGCCATGTGGTTATTTTGAAAAAAAAAAAAAAAAAAATACATTTATAAAAAAAAAAAAACCTTCCGTACTAGGTCAGTGTATTCTAAGTGGAAAAATAATACTTTGCCCAAAATCAACAATACTCTTAATGCATTAATTCAGCCCAAGTGACTTTTAGAGCTGTAAGAAAAAGAAAGGAACTTATTCACATAAGTTTTCATAATTCCATGTAACAGAGCTATTTTACTTCTGCGTTTACATCCGAGTGATGTGCTTGAAACAGAAAAAAGAAATCTGTCAATATTAAGGCAAGGAAACAACTCCCTCCCTTTAATTACAGGTTTCTGCATGACAAGTAGGGGAGTGGGAGACCTCTCTGTACCTGGAGGCAAGGGTGTTTTCTTTTGAATCAAAACCACAGCAACTTTTGTATTTCTTCCCTGCAAACTATGCCTGAAAAAGAGTTGCAAAGTCAAACTGACAGTCTGTGTTTCTAAACAACCAAACCAAAAACAACACAAAACAGAGATGTCAATCTACACAGAGGCATTAAAAGATTGTATATAAAATATCACATAGATCGGCCACAGAAGGAAATGTTCTCTCTACTGTTTAAATATGCTACAACCCTTGAACTGTTAATAACAAGTTTAGCCAACAAGAATTAAGCAGAGGCAGTTCCCAAACAACTCTGCCAAATTACCTTCTGCAATAAGACTTCCTTACAGCCATTTAATTGCATCTTAAATATTCAAAGCAAAATTTCAGTTGCAATCACTTTATCTCCAAGGCCCTTGCCACACACTACACTTAAGGCGTGATTAACCAGTTAACCACATCTTAAGTTGTAACCTAGCCATAATTTCAATCAATTACTGATGCAATAAAATGAGGAATAAGCCCCACAGTTATTCCATTAAAAACATGTAATAACTTTGTGGCTGGTTCCTATAATAACATTAACAGAACTTGTGGCCAGGTGTACCCCATGGCAGGGAGTCCCATCAGCTGACCCAGGTCTCAGCCACAGAGGCACAGTACATTCCTGTAGCTGCGAGTTCACAGCTGACCTGGGCTCCCCCTGCATCAGCAATAAAGGTGTGATGGGATGCGACTGTGGGATCATGCATCAGATCTCCTGCCATGCACGTGTGGCATGACAGGAAGTGCAATTGTGTGGATTGTGCATCAGATCCCATCACGCCTTCACCTGTACGTCTAGAGGGGCCCCAAGGCAGCCCACCGTAAAATTATGACAAGAAACACGACATGCGAGAAATTATGAAAAGAGATTAAACTGTTGTATAGCAAGTCTAAGTACTGTGCAACCTACACCCGACTGCTGATTTGTTTAACCTGGATGACAATACAAACACAAAGTGTACCTCACAATTTCAACTCTAGTTGCACATTCTGACTGTTTTTCTTTCCATTGCGTCTCATCCCAGTCCAGTTCATAGAACACAACCACAAGTGCAGGTACCAGATTCAGATGTTTGTTCATCCAACCAGTCTTCAGTATCCCTTTTGGAATGTACCACTCATAAGATGTCCTCTGAAATTGTTAAAATCAGTCAGTTATCAATCCCAACTAAAGCTGCCATATTTGGGAACTCTTTGCATATTGTTGATCTTGAGGATGCATTTATCATCTTTTATCCAACAATCTTGCCTTCTACACTGAAACTTAATGCTATCTTTTGGTTATGATTTCATTTAGCCATCATATTTAACCAACTGGTATTATAAGCACACAAACATCACTGGAACATTAGATAAAAACAGAAGTCTTTGAAATCCCAGGGAACTGAGATGGGAGTGGATGGACCGGAAGGAGAGAAAAAGAATACAATACTAAAATACACATTACGTCCAGTTATGTCCAGGGATAAAAAGTTATATTCTTCACTTATGGAATCATTTTGTGCAAAAGGAAAAAAAAAAAAACACAAACAAACCAACCAAACCAGTATTATAGAGCAAAAAAGAAGTCAAAATTTGAGAACTGAAGCCAGGTCTTTTGGTGTCTAGTTCTCAGCCCTTGGTATGGACTATGCTGCTTATCAGATGCCAAACTTTGACAGTACTTCCTAACTCCTTCTGCAGCGCAGTAAGTAGGCTACAAATACTATCTTCTACCGCAACTCACTCAGTCAAAATTGAATAACTGGAGTTCGGATGTTGTCCAAGTTACAGATTTATAACTTTAACATGTAATTCTTCCAGATTTCATGTAACTATAGTGTAGAAAGAGCCATGTTAATCTGAATTCAGGCAGAAAGCAGGTCAGAGTAGCACCTCAAAGACCAACTCCTTTGGAAAGTTATAATCTTTCATAGGTGAGTGTCTACCTCATCAGATGATGTGAATGTACTTGCAGAGAGGAAAGATACCAAGTGGGGAAAAAATAACTTAAATATAAGGACAGGGAAAGGAGATGGGAAGGGGACTGATAAGAGAGGCAACAGTGGGTTGAAGACATCAAAAAGGATTAAACAAAGCAGTTAACCCACTAAAGGACATAAGGGTTATAAAAAGATAGTCCAGAGATAATCCAGAACCTCTGTTGAGACCATAATTAAGGATCAATTCAATATCATTTCTAAAAAACGCACAGGGCGCTTATACACATGCTCCAGGAGGTGGACGGAGGGTGCTTTAATTAGAGTGGCCTCCCCACACTTCAAAATGGTGGGGGGGGGCGCTTTATCTAAAGCTTGTTAAATGAGCTTTAGATAAAGCGCCTCCCCTGCCAATTTGAAGTGCGGGGACACTGATATAAGAGTCACAGGAGGCTACTGGAGCACAGGAACTGCCACACTCTAGCAGACGTGATTAATCGAGTCTGCTCATGTATAGGCACCCACAAGCCTGTGGTTGAGCACTAACTCCCTGGGAATGCCATCACTGACCAGAGAGTAGCTGTTCATAGGCAACAGACCACTAAAAACCAACCTGAATGCAAAAGTGCAGATTAAGAAAACACCCACAGGTAGGTCTGTGTTAAATATGGTCTCAGCAGAGATTCTACCTGCCTTCCACATAGCAGAAAGTAGTAGTAAAGTTTTACACAGAGTAATCACGAACAGCAAACATTTTACAATAAAAATTTGATCTCTCCTATAAGATTGAATATTTTTTTAATGAGAGAAATAGATAGACTGACTTTGGACTATACCTTTGTTCTGCATTTGGGATATTCATGATCGCCAGGAAGTACTTTGAAAGAAATCGGGACTCGATCTGCTCTTCTATTAGCACAAAATGCATCCCAGACTGCACGGTGAACAGCATTGTATATGAGATCCAAGCCTGTGAGGGTTACAAACGCCATAGGACGACAGCACAGCTCCACAGGGAAGTCCCACTGCGTCGGGGTCATCTTGAGCTCGTCTTAACCCTGAAATACAAAAGTGCCACATATTTCAGACCACTTCCTGAGCAAGCAGTTCCTGACCGCACGTAACAGCCATCATTCTCCTAACAAAAGCAAGCTGGCCCCTACAAGCAAGAGGCTGGCCTGCTCCACTTAGGCAAAATGCATTTTGGGAACATGGAAGATGCAGGCATTTCTCAGCCACTGACATTTTTTCTTTTAAGATGGTTTTGTTTTTAAGGAACCTCGATGAAGGTCTCACGCCTTGATGAACCCTTGACCAGGGTTGCTCCCTGAAGGCAGATGGCACTGGGAAATCCTCACCTCTTGCTTCTTTCCAACCCTGACTAGAGACACCCAGAGAGGTTTTTGTTTTGTATCTTGTTCACAGCCAGACCAATTCCAAGCTGAATGGGCCAAAGCCCAACAACCAGACTCCCAAATTCAACTAAGCAGAGCTCAACCGCCAAGTCTGCAGGGCTGGGCAGCCAGGGCAGGCAAATCTCCTGCCCCCACCCAGGCCCCCAGGCCTAGGGCTTGGTGCGAAGCTGCGGATACTCCCCAAGCCCCCAGCGGGCGCCCACCGCGCGCACACAGCCCCGGGCAGAGGCCTCCAGGTTGCACCGGGGCTGGGACCCCGTCACGAGGCCAAGGGAGCAGCCGTGGGGACGCAAACGCAGCCCCCCGGGTCCAGGCAGCGTTCTCACCTCCCGGGCTCCCACAGTTCCTCCCGCCCACCCCAGCCCACCCGGCGCCGGCACCACTGCAGACAGCAGAGAATGGCCAGGAGAACCAGGCAGCTCCACCTGCGGAAGCAAGCGCCAAGCGTTCGATTGACAGCCCGCTGCGCCAATCGGCGGCACCCAACCCAACGACCAAGCCCATCATTGGCGCGCATGGAGACGGTCCGCGAGGAGCGCGAGGGGCGGGGCCACGAAACTGGCCAATCGCTAGAGGGAGGGGGCGGGCCCGGCGACTTGGGACCGGGACCAATCGGCGATCTATGAAGCGGCCTGGCAGAGGAACTGGAGCGGCAGGGCGGGGCTTGGCGTTTGCGCATGCGCGCGGCTTTCCTGGGTACTCGCGTGCTGCCGGGTCGGGCTGAGGGCGGGCAGCGGCAGGGACCTCCGGGGGGGCTCCCCTCCCCCCCCACGCGCCATGACGGCGAACGAAGACCAGGAGGTGAGATCTCCCACTCCACGTCACAGGGCTCTCCTGCCCCAACCTCACCCCTCGGGGAGACGACACACACCGCGGGGGCGGGGCTGCTCTCGGGCACCCCCGCCCGGCGCCTGCCTTAAAGAGGCCGCGGGCGCTGCTTGGGGGGTCTGGCCTTGCCTTGTCTCTAGAGCTGGTCCGTCCTTCCCACCCCACCCCACCCCCGGAACCTGCAGGTACCGTTTATTGCGTGGCCGGCCATAAATGTAACGTAGGGGAGGCCTGATTTGAAGGCAAGGTCTAGTGCACAGGGATGGCCCATGGGGCAGGCGCTGAGAGCTGGAGGAGGGAGCGGGGCCGTAGCGGCTTGAGGGAACCTGGCGCCAGCAGTTAGCGGGTGCTGCCAGGTGTGAACAGAGATCACTGGTGCCAAGTGGAGCAGCACTGTCGCCTCCTGTGCTTTACGCAGGGCTGGATTAAGGCATAGGCAGACTGAGCATGTGCCGGGGACCCTAAGTGAAGAGAGAGCAGTTGTGGTTATTTGACATATTATAATTATTGAGTGAAAAAAGTCATAAAAGCTTCATCTGCTGCTGGGGGCCCACAAGTTTGTTTGCCTCGGGCCTGCTAAAGGGTGAATCCGGCCTGGCTTTACGTCTAGTGCTCTTGTCAAAGCGCAGCCCAAAATGGCCTTTTGTTTCTTTCTTCTTTTTTTCTGCAGCTACCTGGCATCGCTGTCTCTTGTTTCTACAAATGTAATTTTTAAAGCTGTAACTTGAAAGGGTATGAGAAGGTGATGCAACATTTGGCACGGGCAGTAGGAAAAAAATCACCTCCCGTGTCATTTGGCCACATTGGGCAGCTGACAAGCTCCAGAAAAGTTTTCATTTTTTCCATAGTCCTTATTATGAAAAGATTAGTCAGGAGGCTTTTGTTTGATTATTGTGGATTTACAACTTCAGTGGATCCAACATCAGGTTGAATGGCATAATGCTATAATTGTGCCAGTCAGTGGCATCTTGGGGCATTTTTACATGTGCTTTGGGGGTGGGTGCTTTAATTGGAGTTGCTCTGAGGGTGGAGCTGCTCTAATTAAAATGCTGCAGCATCTCATGTATCAGCCTCCATGCATGTCAAAATAGTGGTGAGGGTGCTTGACCTAAAGCTCATTCAACTTCAGCTTGTTAATGGTCTGAAGGTACAGCAAGGGAGGTTTAGTTGGATATTAGGAAGAACTTTCTCACTAGGGGACTGGTGAAGTACTGGAACAGGTTACCTAGAGAGGTGGTGGCAGAGCCAACCATAATGGGGTGCGAGGCCTGGGGCAAATCAGCCTGTGTGGGGTCCCCTTAACACTGCGCAGGGCTGTGGTACCCCTGCAAAGGGGGTGGGGGAAATCTCTGTGCTTCTTCCGCAGTGTGGGGCTGGGCCACAAGCTCCAGGTGCGCCCTGTGGGAGGGCCTGCGACCACTCTGCCCGGCTCTGTGGGGCCCCCCCAAAGTGCGGAGTCTGGGGCGGTCGTCCTGATTCACTGTATCCTAGGGATGGCTCTGGGTGGTGGAATCTCCATCCTTGGAGGTTTTCAAGACCTGGCTAAACAGAGCCTTGACTGGGATGATCTAGTTGGGGATGGTCCTGCTTTGAGCAGGTCCCTTCCGACCCTAAGTTTCTTTGATTCTATACACAAGATGCAGAGACTGGCTGGAGCAAACTAATTATCACACTCCAGCAGACTCGATTAATCGAGTCTGCTCCAGCGTGCTGTAATTACAGCACGTTGGAGCAGCCTTTCCAACATGTCTACAGGCACCCTTGGATTCTATTTGGGGACAGATCTACTTGGACCCCTTTCATAAAAAGGGATTTTGTAAGCGAGGAGCTATTTTATTTATAGCAAGTGTAACGAAGTATAATGAAGATAGAAGCATTCTTTAGATATTGTTTGATATTTTCCCATGGAAAGTCACAAAAGTAAGATTTAAAAAGTCCTAGTTGTCTGAAATCCTATAATGTTCACTCAGTTGAGTTTCTGAAAGTTTTTTTATGAAGATGGATTATTAGCTTATGCTAATGTTTGGACACCCTTGTGTAGCTTACCCTGGAGTATGTTTGACACCCTTGTGTAGCTTAGCCAGAATAATTTAGATTGGTATCCTGTGTTTAAACTTGTTTTCTGGAAAACTGAAATTGGATTATAGTAGTACCAAACAAGACTGAATCAGTTACATTTGTTGGCTGTATTTTTATGGGATCTATTGACCTATGTAAACACAACTCAATGAATGTATACTTTGCGTGTGTGTGGTGTATGTGTGGTTGTTCTGGCTTGACCTTTTTACATAAAACATTTAGAAAAACATTAAACTGAAGTATTAGATTAAAATTGTTAACTGTTTTCTTTATCTCATCTTTCTAGATGGAACTAGAAGCGTTACGTTCTATTTACGAAGGAGATGAGCGTTTTAGAGAACTTAGTCCTGTTTCCTTTCAGTACAGGGTAAGACTTCATGAAGTTTTGTAGCTAAATGGAATATGTTGTATATATTACAAAATAGTTTCTTAAAACATATGGCTATTCACCTAGTGGACAATTTTAGCATAAGGAACTAGATTGATGAAGCTACTTGGACCATGGACATGTTGACAGATTACTTGCGGCAGATCAGTCTGACCATGTCAGAGCCCCTAAAAGTAGTTCAGCCCCACCTGCAATAGTGGCAGATACCCCAGGATGACTGGCTATCTTTTCTCCCCAGAGCCTGCTTTTTTGTGTGTTGTGCCTTGAGTGTCATCTCTCTGGTGTGTTAAAGGCACTGGGCATCCGGCTTCTAGAATGGAATCAACAGTTCTATGTAAAGTCAAGTCAGTCCTGAGGCCATTGAGGCACCTTGGATGCTGTGCATCATTGGTGATTCTTTGGGCAGAGTGACCTGGTGACACCCATCTCCTCTCCAAGTATGGAGGGCGATTGGCTCGCAGGGAGCTCATGTGCCCTTTGACAGGTCTTGTTTTTAGTCCTGCTGGGGTATGTTGGTTTTAGCTGCCTGTGGCTGAATCCTGCTCTTCCAATTTTTTTTAACTGTTGGATATTGACTAAAGGGAGCATTACCACGCTCTCCAGTTGTGTGTTGTGTTTTGTTTTTAACAAAATGGCCTCTGCTATTTGGTTTAACACAGAGATGTCAAACAGACAACCTGTGAACCAGATTCAGCCCATGGAGCCTTGTCATCTGGGAGTCCTGCTGGCCAGAAGTGCCAGGAATTCAGGGGCAGGGCTTGCTTCCAAGAGCCAGGACCTGGAGCCCTGCTGGCAACCCATGCTGCTACCACTTATCCCACTGCCCTGCAAGAAGCCTCAGAGTTTGGATCCAGCCCAAGGAGTGGACTGTGTGACACACCCTGGTGTCACTTAACCAAAATAATTCTAATTAAGATAACCTAAAAACAAATAAACTGTTTAGATAGAAATATATGTCCACTCAGAGGCTGTCACTAGTTTAATGAAATTGGTTTACAATGTCTTTATTAAATTAGCGAAAGTCTGTCATGTAGGCAAAGCTTTAGGCTTTCCTGTCAAAAATTGCCCGTCTAAGGTGAGCTGGAGTGAATGGTCCTTATTATCAGGCTTTGGCTAGCTTCACGTTAATTACAGTGACTGCCTTTAGTGATGACAGGAATTAGATTTGTAAGTCTTAAAATTCATACCCGGTTCTCATAACAGACCATTATCCTGTTTGCTTTTTATACTGTACAGTAGAGCCCAAATCATTCATAGATGGGTATTTCACAACCAGCTTTATTTGCAGCAGTTGATGAATAAAGGACATGCAATTCAAGTTGTTTTTCAAACCTTTTACTCCAAAAGGGCACTGCTTCTCAGTGGCCCACAAAGCTGACTGGAGAAGTAGTGTCCTTTGATACAAAAGGTGTAGCAAGTAACTGGAGCATCATAGCAGTCATACACAGCTATTTACTGTGGCTTGTGTATACTCCTGGTTCCTTTTACATTACAAACCCTCAGCTTTTCAGGGGGTAAGGAACTTGACTCTACAAAGTATCCAAATATTTTAATTTGGGCAATGGAAAGTGAGTGCTTGTTCTCTTGCAATGCTGCAGTGTTTTGATTGCAATCGCTGCCGTTTAGAGCCAAGAAAACCTTTTCTATAACAATGTTAAATACTTCAAACCTTTCCTATTGGTTTTTGTAGGGGAGAATTGAGGGGTAAAAGTTATGCTGCTTTTATACACTTGCATGTAAAAATACTATGCTAGTAATGGTTTTTTGAAGCTTACTGTTTTTGAATGGTAATTGTCGATCACCTTTAAAAATAACTTGGGTAATATATAAATAGTGAAAGGTTTGCATATAGAATGTGATATTACAAGGTTTGATAAGACTAAACCTTTCCATTTTTAAGGTGTTTCATCTCTTTTTTTTAGATAGGTGAAAATGGAGATCCTAAAGCCTTCCTAATAGAAATTTCCTGGCCAGAAACATACCCACAGACGGCTCCAGTCATATCCATGGATGCTTTCTTCAACAACACAATGTAAATATTTAAAATAGCTCTATTTTATA